AAAAAGGAATTGTTTAATATTTTAAAAAAGGAATGGGTGAAATAGATAAACAATATTATATTAATTTAATATCAAGTATGCCTAGGAGAATACAAGAATGTATTAATAGTAATGGTGGCTCTACAAAATATTAATAAAAAAATTTTTTTTTGAGGTGGTCCATGACTTTTGGGAGGTGAGTGTTGTTGAGACTCTGAATGAATCAATGAAATTCGAACAGAATTGATTTGAATCACTGAATTTCTGATTTGTTCCATTTGAGTCAAATATGAATCAAATACAAATTGTGCTTTGATTCAATCCAATTCAAATTGATTCAAACCAATAAATAATTTGATATTTATTATTTAAATTTAAAACATTGAATTGTGAAACTGTAAATTGCATTACTTGTTATCATTATTAACATTAATACAGTATGTAGAGTTTCCATTTGTAATACAAATTCTTATTCGAATTATTCAAATAAACATTCAATGTATTTTGAATACTCAAATTCATAAAGAATAAAACAAATAATTTAAATAAATCCTATTTGAATAGAAACCTGTTAATACAACATTAAAAGAAATTTAGGATTCTGGTTTGATTTAAATCAAGTCAAATCACTTTAAATTTCAACTCAAATCAAATTGTTTGGAACCTTAATTGTTGTTGCTAATTATGTTTAGAATGATATACAATTGATTTTTTTTAATAATCAATTACAATCAACTATAACTTTGCCAATCACTTTTAATCATATAATCAATTTTACAATCAATTGCAGAAAAATTGATTCTTATACAATCCTAAATTAAATTTAAAAATTATGAAATGATTAAAGGTGAATGCTATCAAGGCTATCATTCAAAATCATGCCAGAACTCATGATTTTGAATAATTGGAAGTGACGATTGGCCCAGCAACATGTGCAACCAAGGATCAAAAATTCTTATCTGATTGTTTTTTTAGAATTGATAAAATCAGCAGCATGTGAAATATAAAAAAAATCGCATTCAAAATGCAGATTTTAAATATTCATGTATTATGACAATTCTACAATTCTCTTATAAGATCTATAACTTGTTTTCTTTATATAGCATTTTTCTTTCAATATAAAATTTTTAGAAATGTATTAAAAACAGTACTTAGTGTTTGGAAAAATCAAGGTGGTGGCAAAACAAGCTCTGATCTTTTATTAGTACAGCTAAATCTATATATAATTTTTGAGGAACCATTCAATGGAATCTATTTAGATGGTATTAATACTCCTATAAATTAGTGGATTTCTCTAGAGCTTAAAAAAGCGAGGATTGCATTATAACACTTGCTTTAAAATTACATTCCATTGTTCCTCATAATGGAACATGTGAAAGAGTGTTTTCAGTATTAGGATGGTACTCAGGAAAAAGAAGAAAAAGGCGAATGAATAAAGTTCATTTGAAGAACATTTTAACCAAATTGCTTTATCAATAACCAATGGAAATGATATTTTTGGATAAGATGATAATCTTCAAGATGTAATGATAATTGTGACGAGGTTATAAATTTGGATGGTGTTAATGATAGCTATTTAATCATTATTACTGAAAGCATTGGTTTGAATTCAAGTTTAGGTTATTGACTAATAATAACATTTATCAAATGAAATTTATGAAAAAAAATGATATTAATCATGGAGATGCAAATTTTGACATTGGTGAATTGTTAGATAATCATAATTTGGAACAATGATTGTTTTCCATTTGTAATTACAGAATTATTTCTCTTTTAATTGTTTTATGATATGTTTAATAATTTTTTGTGATGGAGCGAGATGGGATGAGGTTATAGTAATTCACTGTAATTCCATAGTTTTTCATAGTCGTCGTAATTTCCTTAACTTTAATAGTTGCCAAGGTTATTTTCGTAGTAGGTTACATATTAATATATAGTTCATTCATATAAAGGATATTAAGAATCTGTGATCATTGCCGTAATCAAGTTTCCTCGAAAAACAATTATGGGCAACTATAGATGGGTTGGAGTATGGACAAGTATATCATCAATTTCAAACCTGTCTCCCTCATGAAATTAATGGTATTTATTAGTAAATATAAATAAAACATGTACACCATTAGTTAATGTTTTCATACTTGTAAAAAAATTTTGGCTTTCTTTTGATATAATTTTTTAAAGTAGCGTTTCTAAAGCTTCAAAAAAATACCTTGTTGAAAATTCAACGTGGACTGGTACGAATCTGCAAAGTTCTATTTAATATTAATGCGTAGTGCTCGCGGATTCTGTGTATTAAAACATTATAAACTTCTTGGAATATTAATAAAAATAATGAATATAAAATAAAATTTTGTTTTTCGAATTGCAACGTTGTTGGAGAAATATTGAAAATGAATGATTTAACAGTTTAGGATGGTCAACATCCAACGTAGTTGGATATGAGTTCTTTATTATCAAAGTTTCCTTCACCATCCCATGTATTTTCCTTTTTGCATTGGATGGTAATTAAAAACCCCCTGCCTCAACAATTTAATCAATACGAAGCAGAATGCACTCCAAAATGTCATGATTATGAACGCACGTGTTTTTTTTTTCAGTAAACATTTCTTTACCCAAATTCCCCCAAAATGTAGATTTCCATCTAATATTAACATGTTCACATCATTTTTAATAATATCAAATATTCATATGCCTGTATATAAAAGATTTTTGTTAAAGGTTGTATTAAAAATATGGGTCCAATATTATATGTATTAACAAACATATGAGAGGCCACATTTATTTTCATTATTTTGCCATCATTTCAAATAGTAAAATTCAACCCTCATGAAACGATCTATATGCTTCGAACTAAAGACACACGTTATTGAGTTATCATTAAATAAAAATATGAAGAACTTTTTTTATATTAACTAAGAAAAACCTTAATTATTACTAAAAAATTAAAAATTAAAAAAGGGTTCCATATTTTTATTTAATGATAATTCAATAACGTGTGTCTTTGGTTTGAAGCTTATAAATTGTTTCCTTCGAAAGTTATAAGGGTTTGAATATTACGTGTTTTTACTATAGTATAGATTATCTAAAAACATCAAAAAAGGCTTTTTTACTAATAAACTTTTCGTTTTTGCAATCTTTATGATGCTATTAACATGAAGTTACCTATAATTTATATGTAATTAATTGCAATATTCTTTATAATCCAGTTTTGCTTTGAGATAAAGAAAATAATATATAAAAACAAATATTAAAAAAAAAGGAGACAAAATCCTGCTTATCATATTCTATATATTAGTTACAATATTCTTTATGATCCGAGGATTCTATCAGGGCTAGCCGCATAACCTAAATAAGCATTTGGCTAAACTGACCGACTAAACTATTTAGTCATCATATTAATATTAATATAAAGTCAAAAAATTATTACCAAATTAGGATTTAACCCCTTTGCGCAGCCAGCCCTTTTACCTGGTTATCATTCACTCACTATCATAATTGTTTTAATTTATCTTTCATTTGTAAAATTTTCTTATTTATTGGCAAACAAAAGTAAAATGAATACAATTGTCATTATAAATAACATGTGATATCTAAATATAGTTGAATCCCAATGGAAACGCAGATTTGGGGCGTGACCGATTCATTCATAAACCAGGCGAATTACCGATCACATAGCCACACGTTTTGATTTTGATCATATTAATGTCCTCATTTTACATAGTACTTCAATATGTAGAGTAATCATGGTATTTGAGATAATCACCTTCGATTCCTTTTTACCAAAACATTAGTATGTAAAAATGATTGGTAAAAACCTCATTGTGCCGATTTTCTCGGAAATTATATCCAAAACTTTATGAGAATCAACATTGCTAGGTAAATTCATAATCTTAGCTAATTTCGCCATTATATTGGTAAATTTTTCACCTGTGATATTTTAATTAATACATCTTTGATATTGTACATACTCACACATGTATTGTTCAGATATATAAATTAATATTAATTTCAATAAATTTTTTTTGTGGTGTAATTACACCTTGAAATTTTGTTATCATCATTCTACACTTTCGATTTTGCTACGATATCAATGATCTCTTTGTAAATAAATAAAAAATTATCTCATGAAATTATTTGGTATTGAGCGCGATAATTTTGGTAATTTATTTTGTGGAGAATTCATATATTATATAGTAGAAAGAGAGCTCTTCATAATAATAATAATAATAATAATAATAATAATAATAATAAAACAAGGAGTGTGAAAATAAAAAAAGAAATCGAATAAATATATGCGAATAAAATTCAAAATTCGATTATCATATTTCACGCGGAAAAACGGTCAATTATTATCAACTATTTTTTTCTAATACGGCTATTGGAAGTTTCATATTAATTAATCACTAAATTGTATTTATTTCATAGTTTCAATAAAATTAATAATAAATTTCCTTAATTGAATTCTCTCCGCAAATTTAAAGTTGTCATCGTTATCATAATTATGATCATTCAATTTAATTATTTGGGAAAATTTATTTTCCAAAAAAAAAATAATCGAATCCATTTTTAGCAATAACAATAGATCGACAAATGAAGTATTTATTAATAGATTTTCATTAATTTTCTTCTTTTTTGATTGTAATAATGATTATCGTGCAGATGCATACAATTTTATGCATTACATATGATTTATTAAAAATTATTTAGCGATCTGGAAATGAAATTAAGGAGATGGGTGTTTGTTTATTATATATATATGATTATAGTCATGCACTTGAGACATAGTAAACTGTTGGCTTTTCTCCAAAGAGTGACTGTACATAGGCTTTTTTATCGACAAAGTTGTTTTCAAAGGCGTGACTATAGAGATTTTTATAAAGTGTGACTTTACGGTATGTGACTTTAGAGAGGTCTGACTGTGTATAAATATGAAAGGATTTAATTTTATGATTCTCAATTCATCATTAAAATAATCCTGAAACCATTTAAAATTTAAACTCAATTATTTATATTTATTAACGATGGTTTTTTATAAAAATCTAAACAATTCTTTAAAAACTAAACACAATAATAAAAGGTATCAAAATAATCACGACAACAACAACAGCAACAACAACAACAACGACAACAAAAACAACAAAAACAACAACGATAACAACAACAATACCAAGAATAACGATGGTAATAATATCAAGAATGAGAATAATCATACATCACCAAGATATTATGATATAAAAATTGGTGAAAAGAGTTTTTTCCTTTCCTCAGAATCCTTAAACAATGATGCACCAAATTTCTTTACTGCAGCATTTTTCGGTTATTTTCAAGAATCAAACACTTCAAAAATTTTTATTGAACGTGACCCAACCTATTTTGATATGATTGTGAGGTATTTACGTGGTTATGAAGTGGATTGGCCATTTCATGATAAGACTGAAATGAAAAATTTATTAGCAGATGTTAGATTTTACGGGTTTGGAAATTTACAAATAATTTTGGAAGAGGTGTTCGAACAAAATTTTCCCAAGGTCGTTATACCTTGGAAAATTATAACTTACGCTCCTGAGAATGAACCAGTCTTGGCAATAAATATTAAAGATATTGAGTTGAGAAGATGGGATGGAAAAAATTTGATTTATGATACGAATCCAATATTAAAGAAGAAAATTAATACCAGTGAAAACACATTAACTGATAATAATGTAACAGACAATAACAATAATGTCAATGTTGATGACAATAACACGGATAGTGAAGATGATAATAGCACGGATAGTGAAGATGATAATAATGTTAATCATCAAGTAATTCAAATAGAATCAAATGTCGAGAGAGGCCTTTACAAATTGGAGATACATGGTAAGGATGCATTTGCCACAGTCACTTCAAAATGGAGTAATGGAATAAAATTTGAAAATTTTGCATTCAAAAACGCCGACGAAGAACGAACCTTTAAAGTTTTAACTGAATCTTTTAGAATAAATAATAATAACACTCATAGTACTCATAACAATACCAACTCTAATGATAACGCTCATATTGATGACGTTAGTTCATTAACTTTATCGCCATCGCTTAAATTACCGTTTTTAAAAGATTCTTGCATCGAAATTGATAATCAAAAATATCATAGTTATAACGATTTATCTGCTTATTTTGGAACAACTAAAGGCAAACCATTATATTTCGAAGAGTTGGTTATTAGAATTGACAGACGTGTGTATTTAATGAGGGCAAAAGCCTGGACTGCTCCTTCCTATTACGCTTCTCGACCTTTCATTCAACCTGTAAACCATAAACAAAATTCATATTAATAGATTTATTAAACAATATTATTTATACAGGATATAATCATATTTTTTTTGTAAGTTATTAAAAAATTTTTTTTTTTTTTTTTTTGTATATTTAATATGTATAATACAATTTTTAATTTATTATTATAATAATAATAATAATAATAATAATAATAATAATAATAATAAACAAAGAATAAAACGACTCGTTCGGGGCCTTATTCCAATGCAAAGTGCAACCAAGACGACATAGTACATGTGGTTAAAGGCTCTTTAACAAAAGCATAACTTCACACTCGTTGCCAACAGTGAATTCAAATGCATAAAATAGTCTGTTTCAGAGAAGCACTAATTATGTTCATTCGTATTTGAGGAACTAATATGACTATTAAAAAAAGAAATAATTATTATTATCATATAGCGCAAGACATACAGTATATACAATACTGATGGTATGCTAAAGCTAAAAATTAAGAACCAACTGGGTTATTGCCCCCCTGTTTAAATCAACATTTGTTATGGATGCCTTTATTCAAAACATAATGTCATATTATTAATAATAGATCTAAATGTAATAAAAACGTAAAATAATTCTATTCTTTATTATTTTGGCAGTGAATTTCCAATGCATGAATAACCTATTTTTATTATTTAATAAAAAGGTACTGACTTTTGTATTATTTAAGTAATATGAATCTTTAATTAATGGTCGCAATGGTGGAGTGTGGTAAATTAATTAGGAAATAGCTTAATATGCTTTCTTTTGATTTTAAAATAAAGAATCAAATTGTTTAAAAGCAAATTTTTTAGTAACAAATGCAAAACACCTTTCTCTGCAGTTTATAAGTATAACCATTGTAGAGTTTGCTATGAACTTTTTTGGCTAAATCTTCGTAAATTTTTTTGGTCATTGCTCCAAGATTTTTCGAAATTATTGGCAAATAAGACATCACCTCGCATCTGTGAATTGTTCTAGTTTTATATTGATTATCTATAAAACATGGATTTTCTTGCGCACTACATTTTCTCATTTTTATTGGACAAGGTAATAAATATAATTATTATTAATAATTATATAGGGTTTAATTATCAAAAAGTTTGTTCTCTCAATTAGAAACTATTTTTAGGTTTATTGAATTGTTCGTCAGCCAACACAACACTCGCCAGAACAATCAACTTGCAGAAAATGTGTGGATCAACGAACATAAATTGATTACCAAAGAATTTATAACTAATCCTTAAAAAAACTTATAATAATGATGGGAATTTATATATAGATTTATATAATTAGATTTGAAATAAAAAAATAGTTAATACTGGAATCTTAAGTTTTTACTGTTACTATGAGAATTGACCAATTGTGTAACATCTAGTTGTCTCATAATTAAAATAATAGCATGGAAAAACTTCAAGAAATAATAAATATTCTTCAGGCTAATAATCTTTGCAATAAAGTTTTAAAGAAATCGTCAGTTTCAGGGGGTTGCATCAACAGTGCTTTTAAATTATCAACAGATTCTGGTGATTTTTTTGTTAAGGTATGAAGGGAACTATTACATTTTTTTCTATTATAAAAAACGGAATAGTCAAAAATATTTAATATTTTTATTTTTTGTTATCAAGACGAATAATTCTCTGGATTATGACACATTAGTAATGTTTAAGGGTTTGTAGTATCAATTAATAAAATTGCTATTAATAGTATTTCGTTTTTTGAAATAATTTGCTCATGATTATTTGATAAATTTAAGGTGAAATGGTTGCTTTGAACACGATATCATCATCTGTTCCTGATTTTGCTCCTAAAGCTTTACATGCTGGAAGTTTTAAAGATGGCGGTGCATTTTTGGTGACTACATTCATAAACCTTAAATCATCATCATCAAGCAAACATGATGTTCTATTTGCAAAGAAATTAGCATTATTACATTCGACCAATTCACCGGATAATAGATTTGGATTTCCTGTGGTGACAATGTGTGGAGCTACTGAACAAGACAATACTTGGGAAAGTGATTGGGAAACATTCTATAAAGAAAGAAGATTAAAATTCATCATTGACAAATGTTTGAAAAAATATCCTTCAAATAAGGAACTTAAAGAATTGGGCAAAGTTGTGGTGGATAAAGTAGTCCATCATTTGCTTAAAGATATAGAAGTGAAAAGTTCATTGATTCACGGTGATCTTTGGTCAGGTAATTGGGGTATTGATTCTGACACCAACGAGCCAGTAATTTATGATCCAGCTGCTTACTATGCTCATAACGAAATGGAATTAAGTATCTTGACTATGTTTGGAAGTCCAAGTAAAGGTACGCATAAAAGTGTTTATTCATATATATTAGTGTGAATTTACTCACATGTATAAATGCTGAAAAATAATTTTATACAAATAAAAGAATTTTTCGATGAATATCACAAACATCACCCAAGACAAAAACCATTCTTTAAGGAAAGACAAGGTATTTAAAGCATCTATAAAATTGTTGTTTTGACCAAAGATTAATTGATTATTATTTTCTTTTTCCTTTCTCCTCCTCTCCCTTCCTCATATTCCAAGAATTATATCAATTGTATCATTATTTGAATCATTATTATTTATTCAACGGCGGTTATGGCGGAACCTCCATCTCTATTATGAGAAGACTTTGTGATCTTGTAAAATAGTGAAATAGTAATAGTAATAGTATATTTGCTATTCAAGGGTTACTATGACGTCATGATTAATATTAATATTAAACGTCATAAACTGTATCACATTTGTCAAAGCATTTACCCTAGTACTAAAAAAGGCAATATATGTATGTTGAATGACATGACATGATTTTTTAATAATTCGGATGATTTGCATAAATATCAATAAAAAGGTTTTTTTTTGGATTTTTTTTTTTTTCAATTTTTTCGATTTTATTAAAAATTAACTTTTTAATAAAGTAAAAAAAATTTAATTTAAAAACTACTTTTTTTATAAAAATTTGCAAATAAAAATGACTCAAAGTTTACGTAAAAGAGCAGCTGTTCGTGCATCTAGACGTAACAGCAGTAATCCTCAGCCATTATCATTAATTAAAAATGAAACGCCTTCAAGCAGTCGTTATAATTCAGATGAAGATGAAGTCTGGAGTGAAACTTCCGGAGATTCTGCAGATTCTTGGAACTCTTTTCAAAGTCAAGAAAATGCTATAGGAGAAGGTGTTAATCGAGAAACCGAACTATTTGAAAGTATTGATGAGTTGGAGGAAAAAAGAACTAGGTAAAATTTTTCTTCCTTCCCACAAAAAAACTAATTAATTAGCATTGTTAATAATAATAATTATTATTTTATAGCGTTAGAGAAGCAGCTTTGACAAAGTTGATCCGTTTGCTTTCGCAAAAATATGTCGCTGATCTTCTTGATTCCAGAAGAGATACCATTTTTACCTTGTTAATGCGATCTATCAAAAAAGATAAAAGCTATAATGAAAACAAATTAGCTGCCAAAGGTTTTTTTATTAATTTAATCGTTCCTGAATTTAAAAATTCGATTAAAAAATTTTAAATTAATGTTTATGATTTTATCTTTAGTTATGTCGTTGTTTTTTATCACGCTTGGTGATGGACAAGAATCATTGTATCAAGAAATTTTAACTTTATTCAAGTATAATATTATTAATACCGCCTCTTTGGAAGTCAAAAGTGCTGTAAGTCACTTTTTTCAAAAATTATTATTTATTACATGCATTTTTATTTATTTTGAAAAGTTTTCTTTTTTATATATATATAGTATATTAAAGCTCTTGGAATGGCTTGTTTTATTGCTGGATCAGCCGCTGATGCCATAGAGTTGCTTGATTTCTTTGCAAATATATTTCATACAGATGGGAAAAGCGTTAATGCCATTAATAATGGAATAGTTATAGCAGATGCTTTGAATTCTTATGGACTGCTTTATGCTGGTTTGTGGGGAAGTCAAAAGGGAACAGATAGAGCTAAAAAAGAGTTTGATCGTGTTATGCCTATTCACCTTAAGCATTTAAAATCTGATACTATGGAAGTTCGTGTTGCCAGTGGTGAAAATATTGCGTTGATGTTTGAAATTTTAGGCATTGGACGTAAAAGAGATGCATCGGAAGAATGGGAACAATTACAACATCCTGAAAGGGTTAGATAATAAATTATTAGTATAAATATTGTTAATCCATTAATTCATTAATTCATTTATTAACAATTTTATTTATTTTTACATAGTATGAAGAAATCGACGAAGTTGAATACGATGATAAGGAACATTTAATCGAATTGTTAAGCGCCTTGGCAAAAGATAGTAATAGACATAGAGCTAAATCTCAACGTAAAGTTCAAAGATCAGCATTTCGAGATATTTTGAGGACTGTTGAGGTTAGGAGGAGCATTCATAATTTTCGATATTCTTTATTTTACATTTTACATTTTACATATAATTCATATTAAGATTTTTTTTATTCTGTTAATTCTTTTTTCAAGGAAGGTGATCATATCGAAGAAAAGATTAAAATTAAGAAACAAACCATTCACTTTTCATCATGGGCAAAAGTGGCTCAGTTGAAAGCTTTCCGTGATGTTTTAGCTGAAGGGCTACATATTCATTTTCAAGAAAATGAATTGATCCAGGATATTTTTGAGTTTGAACCAACTCTTTCTTTGACGAATGCTGATAGGGTGTCAAGACCCTGTTCTGCAATGAGTTCTTATTCTGTTCCTTCTGATGCAGAATTGTCAGTTCTGGACAAAAAAGCTAGAGGCAAACGGATCAGAGCGAGAAAAAAAAGTAATAGGCGTAATGATTTGTTAATTGAAGTTGGATGATCCTAACTTCTTTTCTTTCTTTTTATTTTTATTATATTTTATATATTTATACACATATATATATATATATACATATATATATGTGTATATATAAAAATAAAAAATTCTTTTTTGAAACAGAACTATACACAGTATGTCCATTTTAAGGATAATACAGTAGTAGCAACTACTGTGAACTCTCTCTCCATATTTGGATCATTATTATTATCGTTGATAATGTAAATGATCTCATGCTTAGAGAAGAATATCTTCTCATAAAAAATATGAAACACAAAAAATTGCTAATTAATTATAATTTTTTATTTATTTATTTATATCTTGCTTAAATTATTATTTTCTAATATAAATTTTTTTATAATGTAATATACAAATACAAATATATATATTGTGATTATATTATAATAAAAACAATTATCAAGTTTCATATTATTATTATATTATACATCCATTTTTCCAAATCATTTTTTTTAAACCGTTCTTTTTTTGATTATAAATTATATACACATTTAGTGAGTTAGCAGAATAGTTGGGTGATTATGAATTTTATCATTAAATACTAACTAGTTGATTGATTAATATTTATTTGTTTGAGGAGATTTCGAGATACGTGGCATTTTGTTAGCACGTGAGGCTAATGAGAACTTATTCATACTTTGTAGAACAGATGATGACGATGATGATAATGTTTTTGTCCCATGATATGAATGGGATGGTGTGGTTGGAGTTGAAAATGTTGTTGGTGAGGCAAATCCAACATCATAAGTATCAAGACCAGTTGATTTTTTCCTTTTATAATTATAATAATTATTATTGGGAGGTTTTTTTTATATAGTATGGAAAGGGGGTTGTGAAAAAAAAAAAGAATAAAATATTATATTTTTATATATGTTTTCACCTGTGTAAAAAAATATATTATTATTTTTTTTTTAATAAAAAATAATTTTATAAAAATGAAAAAAATCGGGTTTTTTCCTTTATCCAAAAAAAAAAAAAAAAAAAAAAAACCAAAAAAAGGGTTTAAAAAAAGCAATTAATTAATAACTCACGATCCAACAGGTCGGCCTCTTTTTCGTTTTTTCTGAGTACCAATACATTGATCACAATACCATCTTCCTTCTGGTACTGCTTTAAGATTGACACATTCCAAATGATACCATTCAATTGGGCAATTCTAAAATAAAAGAATAAATAAAAATTACATCTACTAAAGAAAATAAAAAATAAGTAACGTATTTTTCCTACATACTTCACCATCACATGCAATCATTTCGCCAAAACTAACTTGCCGACAGGTACAATATAAAGGTTCATTAGGGTCAGATTGTATAAAATTTGACGAGAATGCTATTCCATCAGTTGAAATAAACGTGGAATCATATGCTTGTGAATTTAAATTTAAATTATTGGTATTACCAAGACCAATGTTTCTATCAGAAGAAATTGATGTCGAATTTAAATGATTAATGTTATTGTTATTATTAGGATCACCAGAGTATCGGATTTTAATGCTTCGGGGAAAGTTGTTGTTGTTATTGGAAGCGGTGCTGGTGGTATTATTTGAATCACCATTACTAGCGTAAATCGAGGCGCTGTTTTGGCTATTTGCAAATCCAATAAAAAGAGATTTAATAAGTAAATATTTTTAAAAAATAACATTTAACAAATTTTTTAAAATTACAAACTTTTGTTGTCTTCGACGCCTTAGAGAATTTTGATTTGAAGACATTGATATATTTCTTCGTGTCAGTGAATCTAATAATATTAAACAAAGATTAACAATAGAACAATGGAATAAAATAATATATCATAAACTTATAATACCTCTGCCGATTCGTGATGTAGAATTCGAAGGATTTGGCAATAATGGTAATGCTGTATACACATTGTTATTATTGTTATTATTATTATTATTAATTAATTAATAAATCAATTACTTTTATAATAATAAAACCAAAATGATAATTGATTACATACTAAATTGACCTTCTTCTGTTTCCATACTTGTAGAAGGATAAAGTATATTCTTATTATATTCATAGGTGGAGTTGGATATTGATGACGACGACGAGAGTGGCGATGTTGGTGGTGGTGGTGAAGTGCTTGTATTAGATTGAAGGATTGATCTGTTATTTGCTTGTGAATTTACTATGTTTGCATGCTGGGTAATTATTTGTAGTGACTTAATAGGTGATTCTAATCTACCAGGACTTGTTGGAATTGTTGTTGAGGAATCACGAAGATTTTGATGAGGAAATAGACTATCAAAATCTTCATCAAGACGTTTAATATGCCTTTCAACCTATAAAAATAATAATAATGATCATTATTTTTTGTTGTTGCTCCTGATCTAATTATGAAATAATATTTGTTCAAGAAACAAAAAAAAAAAAAGGAACTTACTAATGCTAAAGCTTTACCAGAGATTTCAATTTTTTCATCTTGCAGTAGTGCTATTCTATCTAAATCTTTTGAAATCTTTTCCTTCAACATTTCCTCGTCCTCGAACTCAGTTATAACTCTAGTAATACGATGTTTTTTCCTTTTTGATGAGATTAGTTCGATATCATTATCATCATCATAACAATCGTCTTCGCTATCATCATCATCGATCTCATCACCATCACCTTGTTCTTCGTATATGCTCTCAACAACAGAGCAATCACTATCCTCTTCAAATGGTACACCGTCATATAAGCACCATAACCTTTTTTTACGTCGTTCAATCCTTCTCGTTAAATCTTTATTTTAAAAAAATGGAAAATAGTAATTAATCAAAAGTTTTTTTGATGTATTTATAAACTATAATTTATCAAAGGTTAAAATTTCAACTTTACCATCAATCTCTCGTTCTTTATTTGACAACTCGGTAAAATGATAATTGATTTCTGATGGAAGATTATCAATACCTTTTAATTTATTTGATGCAAATATAATTATATAAAATTAAATAAACTGAATAATAAATACTTGTATATAAATAAAAACGAGCGATCAATCTATCAAAAAAGACCATATATATACTGACTTCCTAAGAATTGAATCAAGTACTCGTTCGCATCTATTGTTTCCATATTCAATGATTTCAATGATTTCGTAATAATGTTTTCTATATATTTGAGTGACAAATAATATTATGTCATACAATATTTACTGTTACATATATTATATTAATTCTCAATTCGAGAAAATGGAAAGATCTTCGTGCGAGATTAGATAATTATTTATTTGAAACTGGATTAGTAAAGGAATTTCAAATACATATTCTAATACTAATACTATTTAACCAAACCGTGCTTTAGTGCATTAAGTAAACAGTTGATTTGCGTATAAACTTAGTTTATGGAGTTTGAAAAATCACCAATTCACTCACCTTCAGGTATTTTCATCAATAATATCAAAATACTTGCTTTGAATATTGAACTTTTTTTATGAGTAGTTAATTGGAATTGTCCTTGGCTTTTTACTACATATAAAACTTATAATAACTAGCCTACACGATACGAATCAAAACAATTAATAAGATGGGCCTACATAAAAAATCGCGTTAACCAAGCAAGCCAGTTTGTGAAAAAAAAAAATACTCGCAATAAATTGAAAATCTATGGAAGGATAAAAAGGATGAACTGAACCCGACTTTTCAATGGTAACTGAAATCCGCAAGTTATGTAAAAAATTTGTGTGATAGTGACGAAAAAGGAAAGTGTCAGTCGTAAAACCGGTTTATTTATGTCATACCAATACTGCAAGCTTGGTTATTATTTTTATCATTTTATCATTTTACAATTGCAATATTTTAAAAAGAATAAATGGATTCAACAATTGTGGAAAAATATTTTAATGAAAATGAAAGACTATTAAATACAGAAGATTTTTATGATGTAAAAATATATCTTGGTGTAGAACCAAACATTAAAGAAATTCATGCGCATACATCTATCATATGCGCACATTGTCCATTTTTTAGAAATGCATTAACTAATGCAACAAAGAAAAATGGGTATTATATTATTGAAAAAGCCAATATTAGTGAAGAACTTTTCAACCCTATTCTCAAGTAAGTTTAAATTAAATTAAACAAATTAATTATTATTGTTGAATTTATAATAATAATATTTATTTATTTGAAAGATTTTTGTATACATGTAATATAGAATTAGATAATTATACTGGAGTTGATATTTTGCAAATATTAATTACAGCTGATGAACTTGGTCTTGAGTCACTCTACAATTATACAATGAACTACTTTATTGAAAAATGCGAGGATTATATAAAAGAAAATCCAGTTAAAATTCTACAATCAGTTTATTCTAATACTAATGAACAATTTATGGAATTGAAAAGTATCTTCCTAGAAAAATTTTGTGATTTCAGTGAAAAATTATTTGAATCAAATGAATTTAAATCATTAGAAAAACCAGCTTTATTGGAGATTTTTAAAAGGGATGATTTTTGTATTGATGAAATAGTTATTTGGGAAAATATTCTTAAATGGGGATTAGCAAGACATCCAGAAATCAATAACAGTGAAATTAAAAATTGGTCACCACAAAACTTTGTTGATATGGAAAATACATTAAAAGAATTTATTCCTCTAATAAGGTTTCAGGATATTTCTAAAAAGGATTTTTGTTCTAAAATTATTCCATATCAGAAGCTTTTTCCAGAGTTATTTTGGAATGACCTTTTACATTATTATATAATTGATGTTAATCAGCAAACTTTAAATTTATTACCATCAAGAATTTCAAAAATTCAATCATTAACAATTAACCAAAAGCTTATTTTGCTTTTTGCAAGCTGGATTGATAAAAAAATCCCACAATATAATTCATTCAGAGATCTTAAATACGAATTTAAACTTATATATTGTGGTAGTAGAGATGGTTTAAATCATACTACATTTCATCAAAAATGTGATAATATCAATAAAACTCTTGTAGTTGGCAAAATACAAAATTCAGATCAATTAGTAGGGGGTTATAATCCACTTGATTGGAATTTAAATAATGGAGCTGGTATATGGAAAAGTACAACTGAAAGTTTTATTTTTAACATTATTGATAGAAATGATATTAATACTGCACAGTTTAGTTATGTTAAGAATCATGATAGAGCAATTCGCTGTCATATTTCACATTTAGCTGTTTTTGGTGGTGGCCATGATCTTCGTTTTGAATCAAATAATATTATTATGAACGTTACTTCACGTTCTTATAATGACATTAATATAATAAGTAGTAAATATGATGAATTTGAAGTATTTCAAATAATAGATAAAAAATAAAATTAGAAAGGAATAATTAGTATTGTTTTATTTTAGCAATAAATTTACATGTATTGTAGCTAATGATTTTTTTAAATCAAAGATTATTATATTTTGAAGGCTTATTTGTCTTTAAATATTTCTCGCAATAATAAAATTTTTATTTACATTTTTACATTATTATTAACTGGACAATCACATGTATACAAAAATCTAACAATAAAATAGAACAATAAAATAGTTTTATGCAATTGAAATTCATGACAATTAATGTTTCTGCTTCCTCATGTATTACTATTACATGCATATTCCGCACATTTCGGCGTTTTTGACAGGAAGATTCCGTATCTTTACCGGAAAACAATTATAATGAAATTAAACTCACTTTTCCCGCATCTTTCCCACATCTTTTCCGTGCGCAATTTTTTATAGGAAAACAATAAAAACTTAAGGAAGGTTACATTGTATACAACAGAAGGATGTAGAGTATTAAGTAATAAAGGTGACGGTGATGGTGGTGATGATGATGAGATAATTGATTGTTTCACGATTAATTCCACGAAAATACGGGTCTGGTCAGGACACTTTACCGACAATCAAGTAGGTTTCTAGACCAAACTGTTTCTCAAAGCTCGAACTATTTTGGCAATTTGGGCTAGAAATCTCTTGATTGTCGGTAAAGTGTCCTGTCGGTAAAGTGGGAGGACCCAAAAATACAATCAGAAAATATTTTTTAAACATAATTGATTGATTTCATGATTAATTTCACAAACATACAGTCGGAAAATAATTTTTTGGTTGTTTTCATTCATGATTAACTACAATCAGAAAATATTTTCATATATATTAAAAAATATTTTTTGAAAAATAGAGTTTACTTTTTGCACAATTATATTCAATTTTTAAAAAATGTAAATTTTTATTGAAACTTTTATGCAATCTTCTGATTCGCCATCACAAACAACTTCTTGGAATGTAAAAAGATATAAGCCATTCTGGGATGAATTCGCTCAAAAACTCACAAATTGGTGTTGGTTACCCCTAAAAACTAATAGTGAAGTATTGTGCTTGAGTCAATGGAGTGACTCTTTAAAAAGACTAGCTCTTGGTTCATGGGTTACAGTTGATTCAATTAAACCAACACCTACAGATTTAAGTAATCTTCCCCTTTTACCAGATGGAACATGGAATGATTTTAAAGATGCGATTTCTTCTAAAGAGAATTTAACTTCACCATCTTCTTTTGATGCTATTCCTTTATCTTCAGCCCCCTCTTCCAAAAAATCTCCAGCAGGAAAAACTCATAAAATTAGATTTTGCCCTAATTCGGAGGTAAAAAAAAACAAACTATTAAAATGAATTGGTACTGCGTTCTGGACGTACAACCAATGCCTAACTGCAATTATTAGTGATATAAAAACAAAGATAGAAAGTATTTACATGAAGACATTATTCTTAAATGTGTTCTTGACACACTTCATGGCATTAGAGATGCAGCAATGATGGACCTTTTAAAAAATTATAAATCAAATTTAAATTGAAGTTCAGATCTAAAAAGGATAAGTCACAATGCATCACCATTTTATCAAGGGACTGGGGAAGAAATCGTGGTCATTATTCGTTTCTCAAAGGTATTAAAACAAGCGAAAAAATACCCGAAATAAATTATGAACTTCGTCTCGCCATGAATCGTCTTGGTGAATTCTACTTGTGTATCCCAAACCACTTGAAATTAAGGCCGATAACCAAGGTCCTAAATTTTCGATAGTTGAAGAGAATAAAGGCGTTGACATCATTTCTCTTGATCCAAGAGTATGACCCAAACGGTGAGGTTATAGAATGGGGAAAAGGAGATATTCATAGAATACATCGCTTGTGCTTGCATTATGATAGAATCCAAGGTGAAAGGGATTCTATTCATGACAAAACAAATAAACGTAAAAGGTATAAGCTCCGTCGGTGCATGCTCCGGATCCACAAGAAAATCCGTAATCTTGTGGATGAATGTCATCAAAGATTAGCAAGATGTTTGTGCAAAAACCACCATATAGTTTTGCTCCCTGAGTTTACAACATAAGATATGGTTAAAAAATGCGGTTCTAGAGAAATCCACTCTAAAACAGCAAGATAAATGTTGACCTGGTCACATTACCGTTTTCACCAACGTTTGCTCTAAAAATCCCGCGAGTACCCTTGGTTCAAGGTCATAATCTGCACTGAAGAATACACCAGCAAAACATGTGGATGTCGTGGAATCATCAAGTCAAATTTGGGCGGTTCAAAGATCTTTAATTGTACATCTTGCAAATCCACCATTAATAGATATGTAAACGGAGCTCGAAATATACTTTTGAAGTATATTACAGAAAAACAACAAGAGTTGTTCACAACGTTGGGGCTTACACCCGAGACACCTTATTGTAGGCTGTCTAGGTTCAATGTAAGAGGTAGCATTATTTTTTTTCTTTAATGGTTTAACATAACGTATCAATAATAATAATAATAATAACAGATAATAATAACAATGAAATTTTTAGGACATTGTCACTTTCAGGGAGTCAAATGTCACTCGTCATGTATAATAATAAAATTTTAACTTTTTTTTACCAACTATTGAGTAAAGCAGCTTAAAACACGATTTAAAATATTGGAATGTTTAACACATCTGGTCTGCCCCAATTTTAAATTCTATGTCATACAAATTAGGATCACCTAACAACTTTTTTACTTGTATATTTTTAATGCTTCTCTCGTTGGAATTAGTAAGGTTGATGAATATTTTTACTAAACGTTTCAAGGAATTTTTTTGGAAAAAATTTTGAAAAATAAATTCTATTTTTTTTTTTAATTTTTTTGAGAAAAAAAATACAAATGATAAATGTAATCAAGTTCTATGAATAATAATAATAATTAATATTATTATGAATTAGTTATTTTATTGTTGTTAATTTGTTAATTATTTTAGATTTGACTTGATCTCAACTTTTCTTTTATTAAATTCACGATGTAATGTTAAAGCCTTTTCGATCGATTTAACTAATGGCCTAAGCATCTAATAACGGAAAAAGAGCCAGAATAAAATGAATATAAATATATACCAATCTTTTTATTATTTGAGAGAACGAAATAAATACCTGTTTTAGATTTTGTGAATTAGAGTTTGAAATATCCATTGGTTGTTTTTTTCCGTTAACACTACCACTGTTATTAAGGCTAAGATTATTAAGATTATTGATCACTTTTTTTTGAAGTTTTGATGAACCACTAATGCTGCTGCTGCTGCTGCTGCTGCTGCTATTAATACCATTAATATTTAAATTTAAATTGGCTTGAGGTTTTTGTAGATCGTCATCATCTGATTGAATGTCTGATAATTTACTTATTTTCCCTAATGTGATCTTTAACTGTTCCACCATTTTTTTATTCTTTTCCATTTTTTCTTTAACATTAGAACCGTAACTTGCCCAGAAATGTCTTAGGAATTCATTTCCCATCAATTGTATTAATTTGACCTCTTTTTCAATTTTTGATGGCAGATCGTCTGATGATAATATTAATATTGTGATTAGGATTAGGATTAGAAATTTATTTATTGATGTTATTGTTTGTTATTGTTACTGTTATGACTTACCTATTTTAGGAGTTGCTTCCTGGTTACGTTGTTGTTTTTGTTTTATTATTTCAAAAGATTTAGTATAAAAATCTTTACATAAACTTCCAAGAGATTTCTAATTTAATAAATAATTCATCACCATTACTACTGTAATACACAATACAACCAATAATTAATTATATTATATGTGAATATATATATATATACTAACATTCTTTACACCTTTTAACATATCTAAATTCCATTCTGTAACATCATTTTTGAGGGTTTCAATTGATTCATTTAAATTCTAGAAAAAATATTTATTTATTTATTAATTAATTAGAAATAATAATAGGGTGGCATATTATTATTCAACACATACAAGAGTAGAATTTAATAAATCAACATCTGAGCTAGCTTCGGTTAATTGAGTTGCGAAATATTCACGTTGATCCCTAATATCAAGTAATAGTCGTTGGTTAGATTGTTCATCACACAAGTCTTCTAATAATAGTTCATTTATATAATCCTCTTTCTGTTCAAATATAAAGTAATAAGAATTTTGGTTTTCCTTTAATGAAGATAAATAGCATGATTAAAATATCAAAGATACCTTTTCCTCCACGTAATTTTTATCTTTCTTTGATTTTTCTCTATTAAAAAATTTTTTAAGTATTATTTATAAGTATCATAAATATATAAAAGTAATAAATATAATATTGTTTCTTTCCGCTCCATCTTATTTCTCTCATACATGTATGCATTCATCTTCTTTACTTCCTAACAAATATATATTATATTACCTTGTTGATATTTCCAATACTCTTTCTGAATGTCTATTATTTCGTCTTAATAATGATAAAACTTTATTTTGGCTTGGCCTCATAGTGATGTCTGGCATCATTTCCAGCTAATTGTTGATTATCAAAATAATATATGATAATATAATAATATTTAATAATTTAATAATATATATATAAATCTAACTACCAAATATTAAAATTCAACTAACCTCTATATGATCTTCTTGTGTTGCATTTAAATCTCTTAATGTACTTATTTTTAATTTTTTTCTTACATGCCCAGAATCTTGGTTAAGATCTAACATAAATTATCAAAATAATCAAAAAGATAAATTAATCATATATTTTGAAGTTTGCCGTCAAAGAAAAAATTTTTTTTCTATTATTATTATTATTGTTATCAGTTAACCTTTTTCAGTTTCGACCCAACATTTATCAAATATTTCATCTCCTTGTGAACCATTTGATGTGACTGCTCTATTACGATCATTGAATTTTGATTGTACATATTGTTTCCAAAATTCTTGTTCTGATAACTATAATTTCAAATCATAGTTAGATATATATTGTTATCAAAAAAAAAAAAATAATAATATAATTAATAGTCATAAATTACCCTTTCAGGAACATAAAGTTTATAAGCAGCTTCTACACGTGGATATTCATCAAATATCTCACGGATCAGTTGAGGTGTTATATTAATTTTAGCTTCACCACCATCTTCAGTCACAGGTCGTAAGTGAGGCATTGTAGAAGAACAACCTCTTTGTTGGTTCGTACGTGCATCTTGATCACGTAATAGATTCTGAACCATATCAAACCAATCACATATTTGGTTTTTTATTATTGAAGTTAATAAAAAAATATTTGCTAAAAAGCATTTTTTTATTTATATTTTCTTTTATATTTAATATGATGGTTTTTAAGCATACACAAGCTTTATAACATGTATGGAAATAAAACCATACTTTTCTCAATTCCCAGAATTCCTCTTCATTAATACATTTATGTTCCACTACAAGAGTTTTATGCTGATCAGCTAAATTTTTATCTCTAAGCAGTAATTGTTTTCGTAGTTCAATGTCTTTACTGGTAAGTTGTGGTTTTCTAGTTGATATTGATGATGACGGTGATAATGATGATGATAATGATGGGGGTGTAGTGATATTATTATTAGTAGTACTTAGATTTCCATTTTTGCCTGGTGTATTTCGTGTAGCAGGAGACGATGAACCAGAAGCTGGTGACGGGGCAGCTGAACGTTGATAGACTGGTGATGAGGCTGAAGATTTTGAGGAAGATGTTACAACAACGACAGATCGTTCACGTTGTATACTTTCTGTTAATTCTGCTTTTATTTTCTTTAATTCATCCCAGCCTGCTGGTGGTTTTAGTGTAAATGTAAAATTTTGTGGATCAGATGAATTATTATCATTATTATTGCCACCACCACTATTATTATTTTGATTTACTGCAATAATCTTAAATTTTGGTTCAGCTGAATCTTCTTTAACAAAAAATATTCCTAGAAGCAAAATAAGAAAATGATTATTTATTGATTCTCTCCATATTCATATTCATGCAAAAAGAAAAAAAGCCATATTGATCAAATTACTTTGTATTGTAGAAATGAAAGAATTTACTACTGGTTTTGATTCATTACTTGGAGTCCAAAGAACTCTTTTTGCTGTCATTGCAAAAACACCCTCTCTTTCCAAGTAATTAGCTACTGCTCTTAATGAAATTTGTTCATCCATACTTTTTTTTATTATTTATTTAATAGAAAAAAATTTTTCCCATCCTTAATTCTCCAAAATTGGAAATCACATTAAACATGGCATGTAGGCGTAGCATCTACTTGATTAACCAATAGAATTTCGATTTCAATCAACGATTAAGTATTAGTATTATTATGAAAATCGTGTGATTTTAAATAGTGATCGACTGGCTATCGTTTTAGTAAGATGTTTTACGTATAGTAATAAAAAAATTCAATATCTTGTTAAAAGGTTCTTTTAAAAAAACTTGTAAAGTCAAAAGTAGTTTTCAAATTACATATAATCTATATATAACAGTTTAAATAAATATTAAATTTATTATTAAATCTTGAAATAATTTTGTTTTACCGCCTTTGCCAACAAAGGAGTATTACTGTATTAGATCAAATTCTATAAAATGGCCTTGTTTGTATGTACATTCATTAAAAAACATTCTAATTTAAAAATATCGAGTATTTCCAGTGCATTAGCATTGACTATCAACTAGGCGAGTTAAAGGATGATGGTAGTAGAAAATAATAACAAGATTAATATATCATTCTATTTTACATATTGGATGAAGTGGATAACAAGAAGGTAAAAAATAAGTTCAACAATTAACTATTATTTGGCCACTAGAAAATATTTAATATAACATTCTCCTTCCAAGAATAAAATAAATAGGTTATTATGTTATTATTATCTTAACAAATATTTTCCTGCTCCTTCTCATGTTTCCCTATTTAAAAATAAATCGTGGTGTTAATACATCTAACTTTCAATAATGAATTAATTATTTAGTAAAAAAAAAACAGGGAATTTTAATATTTATTTCTAAAGCAAAAAGAAATTTCCACGAAGAATACTACAGTTGAACCTTGTCATAACGAATTTTTTGTTACAACGAATTTTGAAAAAAATTTTTTTTTTAATAATAAAAGACTTTTATTACATCGAATTTATTAATAGAATCTTGTTACGAATTTTTGGTAAAATTTTTTGATATAGCTACTAATCGCGCTACAACGAATTCACGTGATAAATGACCATAAAAATGCGTTAAAAATCGTATGATTAAAAGAATCATACAATCTATCGTTGTGATAAAAAACATTGTCAATAGCTCGAAAGATTGCATGATTAATTTCATGTTTTATAATTGTATGATTATTTTTCCTGCAGTTTAAAATTGTAATAAAATGTATGGTTGTTTGTGATTTAAATATTTTTATGAAATTCTAAAAGGTGCAAATACAAGTCTTGTTGTTTGGGTGATTATGTATTAGAAAAAAAACAAAGTCACGCCCATTTTCATCTAAAAAGTGAAACTTTATTACAGCTGAAGAAAAAAGAGAAATTTGCTTATTAAAAAGAAATAATCTCAACCAAAAAATTTTTTTTTTTTGAATTTTTTCTTAAAAAAATTTTTTTGTCATACCAATATGTTAACAATTTTTGTCGATCCTGATCATGACAAGGTTAGACTGTAAATACCTTCATATTCAATAAAATGAATTTTATTTTTTATTTTTTATTTTTTTATATTATATTAATATATATATATATATATATACACTCAGTAAAAATTTGTGTTACACTGCCCTTAAATATTAGTTCATTTATGCATTAGTGGAAATTTGAAATGTTACACTAATTTTTTTATATTGTACAACGTAACTTTACAATACACGCGATAAACTGGATTTGAATTGGATCTGAACTTGATCTCCGATTTTAGAGAATGGGTTCTACATAACATTTCGTGTAACAACAAACTTCCACGCAAGATGTTATCGTTTAATTTATTAAAATCAACAGAACAACTGTTTAGACTGGGTAGATTAACATTAAACAAAAACAAAGAACCAAAAAAACTAGATACACCAAATTGTATACTTTATACAAGTAAAGGTTCAGTGCCACACTTGACACCAGACACATTAAGATTATTACCTTTCGATGCCGTTAAAATAACATTAGAACATTTGTGAGTTACATTATTATCAAAATTATTTTAAAGAAACATATTTGTACATACAATTACAACTACATTATATATTTTATTATGATTATATATTTAGTCTTCATGTACGACCACCACCTTCAATTGAATTCTCTGATGGAATTCATAAATTTTTAAATTTAGAAGAGTATTTAGTACTCTTTGATATTAGAGATTCTTTTAATTTAGAGGAAGCGTCATTAAACACTGATAATAGTATTTCCGTTAATACAAATCAAGGGGTTAAAAAGGTAAATCATATAAACATGTATGCACGTATATATTTATAATGTTGATATTTTAGATTTAAATTTATTTATGAAATAGCTCACACAAGAAGAATATGTGAAATATATGAATGCATATAAACCGGATATATTTATTAGCATGTCTGATGATATTGCAATACCCAATCCAAGTTTGAAGAGAATAAAAAAATCTGTAAATAGAACATTGAAATGGTTGGAAGACACATTGAAACAAAAGGAGGCAACTAAAAAATAATAATAATCATGTTGTTGTTGTTGTTGTTACTGTTATTGTTATTTAATGAAATTTTTTTTTAATATTTAGGAAGGAATAAATATTTTTGGAGTATTAGGTGGATATAATAACTTAGAAGAGAGAGTAAGATTTATCAAAGAGATCAATAATTTTAATGTAGATGGTATTACGACAAGCAAATTGATTATTGTTATATTTTTTAGAAAATTTAATAAATATTAATAACAATATTACATATTCTATTTAGGATTTGTGATAAATGACTTCATCAATAGTAAAAATAATACCAATGATAATGGTGAAGACAAACCTTCGAAAAAATGGATTGATCTAATAAAAGAATCGTTTAGACATTTACCAATAAATAAACCTCGTTTAGCATATGGATTTGAAAGTCCAGGTTTTATTTCATATATTATAATATTCATATTATGTATTTATATATCCATCTAAGCGCACCCACTTGAGATTGTATGAGAGCGTACATTTAGGTGGGTGCACTTGGATGAGTTGGCTGTATATTGTTAATCAATTAATTTTATTAAATACATATTATAGAAGAAATACTCCTTGGAATATATAAAGGAATAGATTTGTTTGATACGTGTTATCCAACAAAACTCACAAATTCAGGTCATGCACTGACTTTCACATTTTACAATGATGATAATGATCAAATAACAGAAGAAAAATATTATATAGATTTATGGGATGTAAAGTATCGTAATGATTTTGCACCAATTTCAAATTCATGTAAATGTTATGCATGCCAAAATCATACGAAAGCTTACTTGCATCATTTATTAATTACTCATGAAATGTTGGCGACTGTTTTATTAATGAGGTAATTTAAAATCATCATCATCATCATCATCATCATCATCATCATCATCATTAATATTAATATTAATATGCTAAAAATTAATATTTCTCATCAAATATTCTTTAATTAGCCATAATTTGTATCATTACTCTATATTTTTTAAAAATATTAGAGAATCCATTGATAATGAAACATTCATCAATCGATTAAAGATATTTTTCAATAAATATAGGCCAAACATAGAAATAAATGATTATTTTGAAATCAGCAGAGATGAATTAGGAAATTAATAGAAAACAAAAATATTTATTTATTTTTAAATAATATTATTGAAATCTAGATTAAATCTTATCTTTTTTTTTTTTTACACACTAATAAAATTCAAAAAGTGTGAGATTTGTAAAACAAATGACGAAATTCAAAAATGATTGGATTAAGTTATAAGTTATACGAATCTGATCTAGACTTGTTCCAAAATGAGTAAATCTAAACAATTAATATTATGATTTTTGTACAATGGTACGAATTTGGCCAGTAAAAATGTGGAAATATCACGTGCAAGAATTTTAACCAATGAAATAGAGAGAACTATATTACAAAGAAAGTTTAAAAATAATAAAAAAAAATCTAATGAATTTTCTAAATAATTATTTGGTGCAATTATTTTTTTTTTTGGAGAGCTAATAATAATTAATGACTTTCGTCCACTGTAGTAGCAGTATATAAATGTGTGTAACGTGGAAACTTCCTAAACACGTATTTTCTAGCTTCTCTTTATACCTCGCACAAAAGCTACCCTTAATTTTCCGATAGATATTTCTGGTTTTGTTTTATTTACAGGTCATCCCTACAGACGGTACGTATATTAATATATGATGAAGATCGACCCTTCGGGAAAGATTGTTCGCATGCCCGCATGCAGTGAAACAGTTCTAAAACTTTTGTGGCTTTGTTTAGCCATAGCATCATTCTAGACCATATTAAGAGGCAATTTTAATGTTTTACCAAAAAAATTTTATAATGTAATTAATGTAATTGGAATTTTTTACAAGGTTAATATTAACAATCGGTTATACATATTTAGTTTAAACATCTTTTCTTGGAAAAACCCCCCTTGCCCAAATTAATAACAACTGAATACTTATATATTTCACAAAAAAGGGTAACTTTTATTTTATTCGTTAATAATGATATAATACTGACGATAATAATAATATAATAATGATTAAAATGGCGAGTCTAGATTTTTTATTGTTGATATTTTGTTGATATTTTTTATAAAGCTTAAACCTATCGCAATCATGATCCATATCTACAAATAATACCATGTTTTTTTCCATGTTTGGATGTTATAAGGAATAATTACCATTATAGGACGCATTATATTCATTTAATTTTTTTCTGTTTGTTGTTTATTATATATGAATTATTTACTTATACCTGTCCAAATGGTGTGTTCATTATATTAATTGATCGGCGAGCGCGTGAATTAAGAAAATAGAATGATTTATATTTTATCCATTGCAATTATTTATTTGGGAAAAATACTGTATTTTAATGAATAAACATTAGCACAGAAAAGAATTATATAATTATTTATGCTTATAATCCTTATAAAAATACCATGAATTTCTTCCCGTTTTTTTTTTCAAAAATTTTACTAAACAATTCAATCAATAATAATAATATTTATTATAATTATTATATTATATTATTATATTTTTTTTTACCTTTCTTACAATCCATTAATAACAAATCTTTCTAAAAATGCCTGCTTCAACCCAAATTTTAATAAAAAAAAGGCTCGACCAAAGATCAATTCGCGAAGATTACACAATTGATTATAAAGAAGCTGATACTTTACATTTACAGCATTATCTTTTCAAATCTTACTGGCGATCCAATTTCTCAGCACCAGTTGAAAAAATGTTGAGAGATGGTAATGCTAATGTTCTTGAGATTGGGTAATTATTAATAAATTTTTTATTATTAAAAATCGATTTATTAAAAATCAATTTATTAAAAATAAATTTAATTACATAATACAAGCAAATAACAGCGATTATTACTATTGTCATTATTAATAGAACTGGACCAGCAACTTGGTGTCTAGAAATGGGGACCGAATATCCTTTATCAAAATTCATTGGAATAGAAGCCATTGAGATGGTTCCGTTGTATCCAAAAGACGTGATGCCACCCAACTGCAGATTTATGCAGTGCGATTACATGAGTGGACTTCCATTTGAAGATGAAAGTTTCGATTTTATTCATATGAAAATAATTCTATTGCCGTTTGCTGAAAAAAATCATATTCAGGCATTCGTCAATGAAATAATAAGAATTTTAAAGCCTACCGGTTACTTGGAAATTATGAAGGTCGATCTAAACCATTGCAACCAAGGTCCAATATCCCAAAAGTTATTTGAAGCTCGTAAATATTTTTATTAATTTTAAGTATATTATTGATTAATTAATTGGTTAATCAATGATTGATAATTTTTTTATTCCTATTGTTTCAACCAGTAACGACGTGTTTTGATGAAAATTTTAATTTAAATATAAATAACAAAACTCCAAATATTGTGGAAATCCTTTCAACATCAACCAATAGTAATAATTTGTCGAATATTACACAAGAAATCAAACCAATCCCAGTTGGAAATCGTTCAGGAAGTCTTGGCAAAATGGCATTAGAAGGATTGTGCAATATATGGCAAATTTTAAATTTATCATCATCAATGGGCATAACAGATCAAGAGTATGATGAATTGATGGAGAGTTATGAGAAAGAAGTTGATTCGTATGATTCTTATATTAATACTTTTAGAATTTACGTCAGGAAAGAATGTTCTTGACTTGCATAATTATAGCTTTTAACGTTTTATATCTTTCAATTTTTTATTTTATTTTTATTTTTTTGACTTTTTTTTTAATAATTTTTGATTTATTTTTCTTTATAAATTAAAACTTATTAAAAAAATTTTTTGTACAAAGTTTTTTTTTAATATATCAAAAAAAATATACATATATATTCTAAGTAAATGAAAATAAAATATTTTGATTCTAAACTCTAAATTTTAATTATTTGTTGTTACATTACCGAAACTTGAATTTTCGGTGATGAAAGAAATCTCAACAGGAAAACATGTGTTTGTTTGTGTGATTGATTATCGTCATCAATATTAATAATATTTATGAATTAATATTGATATCAATATTAATATTTTATATTGTTGTTATGAAACTCTGAAACTAACTGCTTTATTTCTTTTATTTCTTTAATTAGTAAGATTCATATATACAAAGATGAAAACGTATGTTATTGTTGTTGTTGTTGTACCAGCTTACCATAAATAATCCTTAATTGGTGATTATTTACGTTTTGTTTATGAGCAAGGAAAAAAAGTTTTATTTGTCTTGTGAATAAGAAGAAAATTTTGTTTTCAATTAATTAATTTTGGAAAAGGTTCTTTTTTAGTTTTCTCCACTTGTTGTTGTTCAAATGCTTCTAATAACGCTGTAATTCATGGGTTTCATGGTAGGTTGAATCAATTAGTATAAAGCATTATCATTGTTAGCAGGAATGATTAATCATATGTATCATTTAAGAAACTATAAAGAGAAGAATATTTAATCTACTCTTGAACTCAACTAGTATGAGTATAGTACAAGTACCCTAAAATTTCTTTGTAATTATTATACTGTATATATAATAATAGTCTTTTGTCCATTATCCAATTTTATTATTTATAAAAAGCATTCTATACCTTCATAAACTTCAAAAATTTATTTGTAAATGGTGAAATTTAAATTTAAATCAATTAAATTGCTTGCTTTGTTGAAAAAATAATAATGATATATAAAAAATAGGATAACTGTTGCAGCTCAAGAATTAAGATAATCTTTTAACGCGTTTAGAAGTTAGTCTCTTAATTAATAAAATTAATATGCTTTATTATTCTTCAAATGTGTTTATGATAAAAAAATTAATTTTAACATAAAAGAACGAATTATTTTTATTATTAGTACAAATTTTATTAATAATAAATTTTATGTTAGAGAGACAAGTTTGAATGACCTACCGTGTTTGCATTTTTCAGATGACTTGGTTAAAGAATAGAGGCCATTTCGAGGTCATTTGCCAACAGTAGAAGATACAATAATCAAACATGTTGATATGGTAAAACCATCTAATATAACAAAAATTACTATATTGTGGTTTAATTGGTTTGAAGAATTTGTTAATGATACTCAACCTGCTTTACTATGTGGATTTATTGTGAGATAAAAACAAGATAAAAAGAAAGTCATTGTATGATGGAAAATGTAAATAAATAAATGTCTTCTTAACCAGAAATTCAAAGATTCATAGATTTATTAATCAATTAACGCATGTTTCAATAGTTTCAGGCTTTAATTGGTTCAAAGTTTCAAATAGTCTCATGCTTCAATTAATTAGCTTTATCACCTTATTCCTAAAAAAACGTGATCATGTGAACGTTGTTAGATGATGAGGCATAAATAAACACGATATAACGTGATTTTGTTTTCTATTTATTGTTGATTTATTATAAAATACATTAGCATGAGCTGATCCATTAAGAAAACATCCTGTTCTGTTCTTGAAAGGCTTCATTTAGTTTCGCGACTTTTTTTTTGGAACTCTGGTTGGAAACTACAAACACTACCTACTTTTTAAAAAATAGAGCGTTTTACCGCATCAGGAACCTTTTTGAATACGATTATGATGGGGAATGCGGTAACTATTACATACGATTTTTACATAATAATAATTTTACATCATCCTGATATATATTAAAATTATTTCTTTAATTGATGAGCCCAAGGCTGTCCAAACCAAAAATCAAAGATTCCAAAATCCAAAACCTAAAATACAAATTATTCAGGATTAGAATGACAATTAAAAGTAATTTGGTTAATTTTTGAAGAACCACTGGCAGCAAAATTATTAGAAGTCGATCAAGTATTTGGGTGCATCATGTACTCTTTGGAACTAAATCAATCAGATAGTGAGCGAAAGTGTTAAAAACCTGGGTTCTATTCAGCTCGGAAGATAAGAAGTTAATTCGTGATCTAGCAGTTAAGGAAAAAATATATTTACTTACAAAGATATGAGCTGTTAAATTTGTCAGTTCTGCTATTTAATAGCAGTTCTGGGTTGTGGGTATAAAATTCATACATTTAAATATATAAAATAATTAGAATGTGCCCAAAAGAATACTTTTGCAAATTTATAATATTATTCATATCTGGTTGGATCCAAGCA